CCTGGAGGGGCCCGCCCCCTCGGGGCGCCAGCCACCGCGGCGGGAAGGCGGGCGAGGGCCGAGACCCCCGGGCTTCGCGGGCCGGGTGGGGAAGGCTGCGCCCAGGTCCTCCCGCTGCGCCCTCGTCCTGTCTCCTGCAGGAGAAAGACACCTGCAGAAAGTGCCGCCGGGAACTTCCCTCTGCCCAGTCTGCACGCGATGACGGAAGCCGGGTTTCGGGTTTACACAACAGTGCTGGCTTTGGGGAGCCGGGAAACAGGTGCCCGGCCGGCTGGGTGCGGGGAAAGCGGGGCGGAGACGGGGCCCCCGGGCCTCGGGCCCCACGTGCTGGACGCCTGGCCCGGAGGTCTGCGACGCGCGTCTCCGGTGGCCCTCGGTCCCGGATGGGCGCCTGGAGCGCGTACCTCGGCGGCTTAGCCCCTGCCATCTGGGCCGCTCCCTCCCGGGCCTTTGTGCCTTCCTAATCCTCGGACGCAGGAAGCCCGCCGGAGGGACTAAGGTCTCTGGGCCTTTCTGCCCCCGAGGCGGCTTTGGACACCTTCAGGCGATGGGACGTAGACCGGGGATTGCCCTGTGGGACGTCTGGACTTGGGGTGGATAATTTTGTGTTGCCAAGGAAAGTTTGTTCTTGGCTTGATCCGGCTGGACAGTTTGTGGTCAGATTGGGCCTTGGCGGTGTAGACAGCTGAGCGTAACCAGGGGAGCCGCGGTATGGCCCCCTGAGGCTCTCACCTGAGACAGGTGAGCTTTGGGTGAGGCGGGCAGGCCTTAGAGTCAGCGTCCTGTCCCTTGGGGATGCCTGTGTTGCTGCAGGTCTTCTTCACCGGGACCGGAGTTTGCAACTCAAGGTCCAGTCGCGCTGCCGAGGGGTTTCTAAGCTGGGAGGGGAGCAGCGATAGGCGTGTCAGGACAATACGGAAAACCAAGTGGGAAGAGCTGAGGAGCCTGCAGAAGAGCCTGGCCCCGGGGAAGCCTAGGCGGGTCTGTGTGAGCTGAGCTCAGAGCGGGAAGAAATCTTGGAGAGGTGGTTCGGCTTCTTTATTTTATGCATCAGGAATTCAGGTTTGGTTTCCTTAACTAAGCTGCCGGAGGTGCTCGACTGGGCAGCCAGGATCCAGCCCAGCTCTCTGGGCTCTGCCTTCTTCACTGAGGTTAGATTGGGCCAGTCTGTGGGGTCCACTCTGGGCCCCAGTCCTCCATGAGATAGTGGAGTATAGGTGGAAGCTGCCCTCATTTGGTCATAGATTAATAGTTGTGCTTAAGTAACCAAAACGTGTTTTGTTTTGTTTTGTTTTTCAATTTTATATGTTTTGTTGTTTAGACTATACACAGCAAAACCAAACATACACCAGTTCAACAGTTTCTACCTGTTCAATTCATCAACACTGATGACATTCCTCGAGGGGTGTACTCACTGCCTTTGAGTCAAATCCGACTCATAGCAACTCCTCCTTGGGTTTCTGAGGTGGTATCACTACAGAAGTACGTTGCCCAACCTTCCTTCTGAGGAATGGCTGGTGGGTTTGAACCACCAGCCTTCTGGTTAGCAGTCAAGTGCCTTAGACACTGCTTGTTGTTGTTATGTGCCGTCAAGTCGAATACAACTCATAGCAACCCCTCCTTGGGTTTCGGGGGCAGCATCTCTACGGAAGTAGATTGCCCAACCTTCCTTCCCAGCAAGAAGTGGCTGGTGGGTTTGAACTGACAGCCTTCTGGTTAGCAGTCAAATGCTGTAGGCACCTCGAGTTGCCCCCCCTCAGCATAAATTCCCTGCCATGAAGTTTCCTATCTAATCTTTCAAGTTACTGTTGTCAGTTTGATCCCATAGATAGAGTTTTTAAGTTGTTGTTGTTATGTGCCCTCGAGACCTGACTCTTAGTGACCCCTCCTTGGGTTTCCAAGGAAGTATCACTATGGAAGTAGATTGCCCCATCCTCCTTCTGAGGAGTGGCTGGTGGGTTTGAACCACCAGCCTTCTGGTTAGCAATCAAGTGCCTTAGGCACTACGCTACCAGAGCTCCCAAGTTTTTAAGTAGTAGTCAAGCTAAACTAGTGTATAGGGTCATTATGAGTGAGAATCGACTCCATGGCAGTGACTTTTTTCTTTTTTTTTTTTTATTGCTTGGTTTAGTTGTTGCCGTTTTAAAATAATTTTTGAAAATTGTGATAAGATGCACATACCACAAATTTTACCGTTTTAAAGGATACAGTGAGGTGGCATTTAGTTCATTCAATGCTGTGCTGTCATCGCTAACTAGTTCTAGAACATTTTCATAACCCCCAAAACAGTAACACATACAAACCAAACCAGAGTCCAATTGCTGTCCAGTCAATTCTGATTTATGGCAACTCCACGTGTTTCAGAGTAGAGCTGCATGCCATAGGGTTTTCATAGACTGTAAGCATAAGTGCCTAAGGCATTTGACTGCTAACCAGAAGGCTGGCGGTTCAAACCCACCAGCCACTCCTTGGAAGGAAGGTTGGGCATTCCT